GCTTTGCGAGCAACTTCATCATGTCAGTGTCGGTGTGTGCGCGCATCGTAAAAAATTTACTCTCATAATTTTGCCAAACCTGCCAAAAGAAAACTACAATAAAATCGCTCAAAAGTGTTCAATTATTATTTTAATATAATAATATTGATTGATAATATAATAATTATGATAATATTATATTAATATAATATATTGTTTATATTAATAATTGTTCAATTATTGAGTAATAAGTTCCAAACATTATCTTTGTTCCTTAAGGAGGTAAGACTAAGTATTCAGGGCGTGAATGCCAAGTAATAAGTGTACCGAACACTCAAGCCCGGCTTATGGCATCGTAAGAACAACAAAAACTGTACGCGGATAATAACGCAAACACCTTTTGAAACTTGTGTACGGATATCTTGTAAATAGTGTAGAGCACGTTAAATATATTCAATGCAAATCCTATTTTAATATTGCTCCTATAGATGAGTTGCTTTGTTGAGTAAATCTTCACTCTTGTAACCGTTAGACAGACATTGATTAAACTACCCGATTTATTCTGTATTATGAATTCGTAAACGTTACATTAAATTATTTTATGCATCTTATGCTTGCAGCGTAAATAGCCTGTTCAGTCTTAGAATAAGATCGCTAGATATTATGTAAAAAAATTAATGAAGATCCTTATTTTACATCTCAGGTAAAAGTAATATATGTTTCATTGTTGAAGAAAGGACGTTCTAGCGATCCACAAGGTTTGCTAATTGCAGCTTGGGGTACTGCATAATATTGTTTCCTAGACATACACTTATATGTTTCACGATCTGTTGTATGGCTGCGCAGCGACTTATGCCGTTGCACAATTAAGCAGACACATCCGGAGGCGGACCACGGCGTCGTAGAAGACTGCCGTGGAGTGGAATTTTTAAACTTACAACGGAGTGATGTAATCGGGGCCCACTTTTTTGGTTAGCAACGCATCTGCAACTCAATGTTGTAGATCCATGGGCGGTAACTATTAAGATAACATGAACCGCCTGCTCCCTTACCAGCTTTAAAAAAATCCCTCACCACCAGTCCCGTGGTTAATTTACAAATAAAATTGCAACAATTTCACTGATGCCGACACCACGATTTCAACACGAATTCCTTAAGAATTTCAAACGGGCTCGGACACTGAACCGTCACAACTTAATAGGTCATGTGTGAATAACAAAATAAACTTCATCTATTCACTTAGACTGAGATCATCATAACATATTGCCTTATATCATAAATCACCGTAGAAAACCTATTTAACATAAGCGGAAAATAATCAAGTAATCAGCTTTGTTTGCTTGTAACTTGAACGGTGTGTGCGTAAACTGGGGTTTTCCTACAATCCGTCACGAAATTTGAAATTCATACAATGGTTCATTATTGATTTGTGGTATAATAAAAGAGTGCAATGCGTGATAAAATTTAATAAAGTGCCATGTTGCTCATTGCACACACATATGCGTAGCATTATCAGGATTTTTCTATTTTATTTTTATGCAACATCTATAATCAATAAAACTAAGAAGGACATTAATGAACTCAGGAACAATGTTATTAATTGGTTTTCCTATATTATAATTCCTTCTTTTATTGCTAGTCGCTTCTATTGGCATATTTATTGTTATAAATATAATATGCCTAAATATGTCCCTACTGCTGGGTAAAAAACTCCTCTGTATAGAGGATATTAGGGAAAAGTCCTCAACGCGACTCCACCGTGTGTGTAGTATAGAAAATTTTATCTTTATTTTCGATCAATGGGTTATAAGTAAATAGGTAAAAATAAAAAATAAGTGAAACGTTTGAGGTCATGTTGATGATTAGTTAATTTTGTAATTTAAAAATTTTGCGCTTTCATTAAATTTTGCCTAGAAAATTGTTGCCATCATAGGCGGACTATTTACTCCACATATTTAGCCCTTTTCTTGCCCCTTACGTGTTACAGGTGGCAAAATTTTTGTCATATCCTAATATTATAAAGGCGAAAGTTTCTATGTGTTGATGGATGTTTGTTACTCTTTCACGCAAATACTACTGAATGGATTTTAATGATACATTAAAATCCAAAACAATGCCCAAACTGATAACCTTACCCTATGTTGTAAGGAATATTTCCATACATCAATTTCACAAATAACCTAATATATAAATTTAATTATTTTTACACAATTTAAAAAACATTAAGTGTAAAGAATACTTAGGAGTTGAGGTTGAACTTCGGGAAATATTGAATAATTTAAATCGAGTTAAGTACTCATTGATGTCTCTGAGCGATAAGTGGAGTTTAAAATATACGGTAAGAGCAACGATGTAGAACCGGCAATGTAATATGTCATTAAGGATGGACGCCTAATAAAATTTTAACGACGTAGTTCACATTTCGTGTGTAAATATTATGGTTATATACACACAATGTTTTTATGTCCTCTGATAAGACCGTATAGATAGCTCAATGACTAACTAATGTTCGATGTTGTGTTTGGGACCTGCGTGATCGACGAAAAATTTGTTCCAAGTCTGGGTATACTTTATAACTGTGTTTTTCATCTTTTTTTACACTACACGGGAATTATATCAGGCGTCATCTTTAGGGTTCCGTACTCAAAGGGTAAAACGGGACCCTATTACTAAGACTCCGCTGTCTATGGTCTGTCAGTCTGTCTGTCCGTCTTTCACCAGTCTATATCTCATAAACCGTGATAGTTAGACTTATTTTCACAGATAATGTATTTCTATTGCCGCTATACCAACAAATACTAAAAAACTTAATAAATAAAAAAAAATGCGGCTCCGATACAACAGAACTTTTTTTTGACGTTTTTATAGATAAGGGTACGGAACCCTGTTTTATTTTAAGGAAATATCTTCTACTATGCTTTATAATTTTCTTATTCATTTAATTTTATAATATTTTATGTACAAAAAATATGAGACAATTATGTTTCTTCTGTAATTGCTGTTGCTATTAAACACAGACTTATAGTAAACTTTATAAAATGTCGGTACGCATAGGGTCATTGTATGAAAAGTAGAACGCGTTAACTTTTTGCGTGTACCGAAATAAGTATGCAAAATATTTTGCTTTGTTCAACAAAACATACTTTTACCATGCCAAAACTTACTCATAAGCAAGAATCACAATAAAAATTTGCATTTAACTCAGGTCAGCTGTCTTTTAAAACAGGACTTTTGTGCAAGCAAAAACATACTTGCCATAAGTCATTGATCTAGTAACATGTCATTCTCTCGTATTGTTTAGCTCTACGAAAACATTTTAACTGACTTTCCTTACCTTATTTTCATTAAAAAAAATCAGCAGTTGAAATGAAAAAGTCTTACAGATAATAATTTGAGTTTGATTAAATAAGGAATGTGTTTTTTATTATAACTCTGTAACATGCTGTGATAGACGCTCTCTCTCATATGTGGCGATAGGAGAGAACCTACTTGTCGATGATACGATCAGTATTTCGTTGGATACAGGCAAATTAAAGGAATTGCTATTGGTTACTGATTCTGTGCTTTGTAGAGTTGCACACGATAGATTAACAGAAAGTATTGCATTGCTCAAATTAGGACACCGAGATTTCTAGAAACCGACTTTACTTTCTCTTCTTAGTAACTGCGTAATTGCAGGTTAGTCGGTATATCAGCGTCAACAATTTCTGTAGTCTTAGTTTAGTTTATCCAACGTCTTTCGTGAATAAAAGTGATTTTACCAAAAATAACATGATTTTACAGAAAAAAGCCTGGATCGTCAGGCTAATGGTGATAATACTTTAGCGGAACAGTTTTACAATTAGCTTAATTTATGTAACATCCCTGTTACGCCGTTGGTGACATTGTTTCCAATTTTGACAATAATTTCAGTTTAGGGAACCTGGGGTCGAATTGTTTATTTTGTAATATAAATACACGTACTCATAAACACATATAAATACAATTACTCTTATAACTCTTAAAAGTTGGTACATTTGAAACTTATAATAATGACACTTTTTATTTACTTATTTTAATTTCAATTGTTGTTGTTGCTTCTAAAGATCCCCACATCGCACAACCCTGAATAATTGAAAGAATGATTAAATGAATGAATGAATGTCTTTATTGTCCTGAGCCTGAATCTTGAGCCCCTTGCATTTATCAAACTGCCACATTCTCGTGCTTGTGGTCGTTCTAACCTCGAATATCTGTTTATATATAATCTGTTTATTATACAAACAATGGTCTGCAACCAAGTCATTCAGCAGAACTAGAGTAACCGTCTTAGGAACACCAAAGCTGCAGCGGCATTGGGAAGGCAAAACAGCTCGAAGTTTTATTGGTTCTTTCGATGGAAAACGTAATTGAAGTTATGAACAATAAAAGTAGGATGATCTAGAGGTTCTTTTGTGCGATAAATGAATCATCTCGGCCATCGTTGCCTCGAAAGTTATGTATCATTAAACGATCTATTCGATCGACGACGAACAATCGATTCGTTCTTCTTTCTTCTTCCTATCGCTATCAAGACCAGTCACGGTTTCTTAATTATACAATTATACAAACACTACTTCTTCCTTCTTCTTTCTCCTGCACTGGGTATTGGCTAGATTCTTATGACCGGCCTGCTTGATATCAACCCACTTTGGGAATAAGCATCTTATCCCGGCACCGAAGCCTGCGCCCACCTTGTAAACATATAACATGTAAACATACAATATAATATTTTTCAGCGTTGATATATGTATAATTTTGTAACGTAATAAAATGGAAAAAAAAGTTACATTCGGATAGAACTGGTGACCCCATTCTCCTCTTTAGGTAAATTAATGTCCCAGTTAATTAACATCTCTAGCGGGAAAATTGTCCCACATCGGCCACATTTCAGGTCCAGTGCTGTACCGCCGCCGTTGCATCTGAAATATAGTGTCGTTATTATATTTTTGGTGTTGGCAGAAATTATGAAGTGGATTTTTTATGTTTTAGTGTTCATTTATATGTTCTACAGAGCAGGTAGATTTAACATTTTGTTTTTATACTTTTGATCGGGTGACATAAGATATATGATTTTTACAGTATACGGATTGAAGAGCAAAGATGTAACCGGTTTATCAATAGAAGAAGTTAAATATGGCACTGATAATCACTATTACACAGCCGGCGTCCGAAAAACAATCAGTTGTAAAGCTGCGAATAAAAATCAAAAGGTAATAAAATGCAAAACACTGACCATGGCTTTCCATGAAGTGTTTATTTCATTCGTGCTTTAATTTAACGTGTCTATGTTAATTCGGAAATATCGTTTTGTCTATCTGAATTTAATGTTGCTATATATTTTATTCAACAGCCCTCTAGTAATCGACAACTATTTTTATTTACCTGGAGCTAATTTTAGGTCTATTGTATGTATAATTATATTGTGTTTGCATTTGCGTTTAAAGGTTGAATGGATAGATCCCAAGGGAAGGGTCGTTAAAAGGCTGTCGACGAATCGGGTGTTTGTGCAGGAGCACTTTGTACCGACTTCGACGTTACGCTCTCGAGTCCCGGCTCTCGTTTTGGTGCTGACACACGCGATCGTCGAAGACAGCGGTGTCTGGGAGTGTCGATCCGGAGACGTAAGACGGAACGTATCGCTCTGTGTTATCGGTAAGCCAATTCTGAATAGATTAAACGAGACTGTTAAACGCAAGATGGATTTGTTCAGTTTTAGTTCGAATATTAAATCTCGAAAACTGTTAGAATTTATTTAACGAAAGAAAACATATCTTTTTCATCATCAAGGGATTGATAGGCTTGATATTGCTGGTACGTTGTTAACTACAGAATGTGGGCCACCGCTTACCTCACTCAATGGAGGAAACAAAAAAAAATATGAATATTTTACAATGTAAACAAATCACATTCAAAACACATTGTATCTCTTAACTATGCTATTGATAATTTTATGACACACCATTGGAATAACTAAATGGTGTGAGAACTAAATGATGTCATGAAACATTTTATGTAAAGCCGTGTTGTTTTTGACAAGCAGACAGCAAATAACAGTTAATTTCTTATTATATGCTTGTAAGAATAAAACATAGTTTAATTATTAATTGGTGGTTAAAAGCGTTGGTAAAATTGTACTTAATTTTGTTTATGTGAAAAGTTGCCAAGCGAGCAGGCGGTTCACCTGATGAATGATGAAGTGAATAATGAAGTGAATACCGCCGCCCATGGACATCTGCTACGGGGTGCCGAGGGTTCCAGATGCATTGAAAACTTTTTGAAAATTGGGCTCCGGCCACCTCACTCACCAGACGAAACGCGAAAGTATTATAATTCCACTTTACGCCGGTCTTCTGTGAGGTCGTGGTACTTACCTTGAAGGAAAATTAAAAATAAAAACTGGTCTAGTGCGAGTCGGATAGGCGCACGACGGGCTCCGTACCATTATTTATAAAAATGGCAAAAAATGACGTCTGTTGTATCGGAGGCCCACTTAAATATTTTTATTCTGTTTTTTAGTATTTGTTGTTATAGCGGCAACATAAATACATCATGTATAAAAAATTCAACTGTCTACCTATAAGGGTTCAAAAGATACAGCCTGGTGACGGGCGGACAGACAGACGGCGGAGTCCTAGTTATAGGGTCCGTTTTACCCTTTGGGTACGGAACACTAAAAATGACGTTAACTTCTTAATTTATTTATACCTTTTATATTTAGATCCATCGAAATTTGTGGATACACCTACAGAAGTGAGTGTCGATCGAGGGCGTTCCATAACATTATCCTGCCAGGCTAGAGGGGAGCCAGAGCCGAGACTAATTTGGTCTAGGAATGGGGAATTAATCACAGGTACAATTTAAATGAATTCATCAATATATTTTTAAAATTATAATTATAACTTAATTTATCTATTATTCACTAAATGACACAGACGAGAAATAGAGAAACCAACGTGATACCTTGCGGTAATAAGTTTAATAAATACTTTAGTAGTTAGTAAATACAAAAATACAATCAGCAAACAAACAAACTCATGTCTGGGACGGGGAAACGTAGATAACTGATCTTATCTACTTTTTAACGAGCTCGCCAAACATCACTGTGAACTCACCGACAAAAATCGGAATTGTGTGAGCCAGGGCTTTGTCTACAGAAATACGTAAAATGCTCATTAGAATTCTATCTCTCGTATCGTGTGTTGAAATCCTACGTAGAAGACCTCCAAACATGATCTAAAAAATTGTTCCTAAGGAATCTATGAGTTTTTTTTCCCTTGAAAATTCCCTTGAAACTCAAACGCAAATGTCAGTGTATTTATTACGGCCACATTAAAATTGAATGGCTTACTGCGTATTGTTTTACTCTTTACCAGGATTGAGTCGTACACTCAATCCTGGTTAGCGTACGTTTTGCTATGGTAATTACTAAGTATAATGTTTTAATAACAATGCTATACATTTATTATAATTCTGAAATTTTAGAGTATGTCTTGGAGTCAAAGTATAGAGTTATGACTAAATATAATAGTCAAGGGTTCGAAGGGCTGCTGACTATAAATTCATTGGACGCCGAGGATAGTGGAATCTACACCTGCGAAGCGATTCAAGAAAGTCCTCATGATGCTAGCTGCACGAATACAGAAACTTTCAACATCACATTACAAGTCAACTGTAAGTTCCCACTTATTTATTTTCTAATCTACATATGTTCCAATTAGATTTTAACTAGACGCTCTAATGGAAGTCACTCATTCGTTGTCAAATATCTTTCCATTCAGTATAGTTTTGTTTCATCATTCGCACGCTAAAAGGCAGGAGAAATTGCGGTTTTACTGTGCAAGGTGTTTACCATCTATGGTGCTGGATCTCATTAGGTAAGATAGTTTCATTGCTCGGAATGCAACTAACTTACCTAATTTATTAATAGTCTTTTAAATTATTATTATGTATGTCAATTGGACATGAATTGTAATGAAATTAGACGGGGCCCACTTTATTAAGAGAAAGGGAAACGCATCTGCAACCCTACGGTTATTGCAAATGTCCATGGTTATCATTTAAAATCAGATGAACCGCCAGCTCGCTTGCCACCTTCTCACATAAGAAAATGTGTTTCAATTTGTATCAGTGTAGAGACATAAACATCTTCCACTCAATTTTGATCATGTATTCGGATGGTTCTTATAAAAGACCGATAAAAATAAAATATTTCAGTGAAAATTGTTGCATAATGTTGAGTTTTGTTTAGCTAATCTTATCGTACCCTCTTCTAAAACGATGCAAGCTACAATTTTGTTACGTTTATCTCTGACAATTTCTATAAATTTCATATAATGTCTACTTTCTGAGTATATTTTATTGTTTTATTATTTCACGGTTTTTCTAATTAATTTTTGACTGATAATGAAACATATAATTTTAATTACACGTTAATGTTTACGCTAGCTACATCTCTTGAGACAAATTAAGTTTTATATGTGTAATAATTGTTCTTAATAATATCTATAGATGGCGCTAAAATATAAAGATCGCTCTCGAATATAATTAATTTAGGATTGTCGTATAACAGAGGGCGCTGTTGGGTAAAACATGCATTTTTTACTTTTGGATATTTTACAATTTTTTAGTTGTCCTTTTCTTCATTTGCACTGGATTTAATAGAAGATTTTTAACAATACGTTATTATAAAACGTCCAGAACTTGCTATAAACAAGCAATATGTTTTTAAATGCAATGTTTTTACTACAAATTGATATTATCAATGAATGAATTAATTATGTTAACAATTAAAATTATTATAAAACTGGTTTTAAACAGACAGTGTATTAAGTTATTTATTGTACTTTATTCAATATAGTAACATTACATTTTCTTATTGAAAGTCAAGAAACTCTACCACCCGTTCGGAAGGAAAGCCACTGAACTGAGAAGAACCGGCGTATGAAACTCAGCGGGACATTTTCTTTAACTTGCCAAAAATAATAAATATGTTTACAATATATTAAATTCCACTTGATAGAGCCTGGAGCGATTAAAACGGAAAGTTAATGAGCCATATTTAACGCTTTAACAAAAATGGCCTTTTTAATTAAATGATGTCATTCAAACGTCCTATTTTTTAGATGCGCCTGTGTTCGCGAATTCCAATGACACTGAAATTGTGTATCAACAAGATAATGAGAGGTATGTGTTTAGAATTTTACAATATTTATTCAATATCGACTCTTTTCAATGCTTTTATAATTGACTTACAACAGCTCGCAACATTAACATCGGATTAAGCGAGAAGACTTTTATATCAATGAAATATGTACTTTGAACTCGAAATTCAGCTGAAAATTTTTCGTGATTTATATTATTCTTATCTATATTTCAAAATCTTACGAGTAGTAGTAATGGTAGAAGTTAACTAAAAAATAACGGAACTATAAGTCTGTTACAGTTACTTGTAAGATGTTTACCTTCATATTTCGATATTAGATAGGAAACTTATAAGTGTTTGTTTCAGTGTCGATTTAGTTTGTTCCGCGAGTGGATTTCCGGCACCAACTTACACGTGGTTTCGAGATTTAGGTGAGACTCTGTTTGAATTTCCCGAAGAACGGGTTAATCTGCAAGATGGGAACAAAGCCGTGTTAACACTGTCTTCTAATGTATCGACTTCGACACAAAGGTATAGATGTCGCGCTAGTAACCAATATGGCGAAGCTTACAAAGTTTTCGCTGTACTCAAATTGGAGAGTCCCAAAAAACCTAATAAGGTAATTACAATGATATCTTCTAAATTTCAGAGATTAGCTATTTTTTAATTATTGAGATGTCATTTTAGATAATTCTCCAAGACGCCGGTCAGGACAGTGTTTATCTATACGTTATGTGGAACGAAGAAATATTATTCCCAGTAAAAGGTAAGGAAGATATATAAAAATTGTAAAACACAAGATTTTTGATAAAAGTATAAGTATCTTATTAGTAGAAAGTGAAATTCAAATGCAAATTCAAATATTTTTATTCAGTATTGCGTTACACTTATTTATTGATTGTCAAAAAACATTATTACCGGTTCGGAAAGAAAACCTGACAAGAATTGGCGAAAGATTTCAGATTCAGCGTGGGATTTTTTTTCAACATAATTTGACAAATATAACAAACATGTATATAATATATTCAATCCCACTTGAAAGAGCCTGGAGCGATCAATTCGTATCCAGAGTGCTCAATTTCAAAGTTTGGTCTTATCCCAATAAAACAACGTTTTCTTGTCTTATTATTTACAAGAAGTTTAAACTTAAATGTTTCCCGACTTTGATTCCTGACTGTTCTCCTCATGTGTTATATTACAGAAACTTGTCTTAAAACTGTCTATATTTCATTAACTATTTAAATTTGCAGTATTAGAGGTTCAATATGTAGAAAAAAAAAGTTTACCGAGGAGAAAGATGGAAACTTTAAGAGAGGCCGACTGGAAAAAGTCTAATGATGTGGAAATCGATCTTGACTCTACTGAAGAAGTCGAAGCGGACACTCAAGGTCGGGTTTACTAGTGCCTAAGTTAGTTTGATAAATACGTAGTATTTATACTTACATAGAACGTTAAATATTTCGTTAAAGTATCTACTGCTTGAGTTTTTGAATTTCCGCTGTAATAAATCTTAGACGTATGTACTTCTATGTACAAAGCCACGGATGTTTTATGAATGGGTAGGCTCATCCGGGTTAGAATCACGGTTTAACAGAAGACTGGCGTAAACTGGAAGTATTATACTTCTGCGTTTCGTCTGGTGAGTATGGTAGCCGGGGCCCACTTTATTAAAAGGTAGCAACGCAACTGCAACCCTACTGGTGGTGCAAATGTCAATGGGCGGCGGTTATCACTTAACATCAGGTTACAACCGCCAGCTCATTTGCTACCTTTTTACATAAAAAAAAATTAATATATTTTCGCGTTTCGTCTGGTGGCCGAGATAAGCGGGTCCCACTTTCTTAATGTTGGAAACGTATTATGCAAGTCGTCGTACTTGTATTTACATGGACGGCGGTAATCACTTAGCATCAGGACCCGCCAGTTCACGTGACAACTTTTCACACAAAAAAAGGAAGTATTGTTCATTTTCTAGGCTTATACTTTAGGTTGAATCATTTGGATCCCGACATGGAGTACTGGATACGCTTACGCGCTGTGAACGAAGCTGGTGAATCTCCTTGGTCTGAACCGGCTTATGTGCAAACAGTAGAAGTGAGCGAGACAGAGGCTCCGGAAGTAAAAGAAGGAGAGGAAAACGCCCAAGAGAATGATGATGAAACAGGCGAGACCGCCGAGATGGCCTATTCCGATTCAACATTTTATGGAGTGTTCTTTGTTGGTGGTATCGTCATACTATCAGTTGCATGCATGTTCATCATGAGGTTGGTGTAGTGCAGTTAATGTAGTCGAAAATGTGTCTTAGTATCTTCTGTGCAATGAAAATAAATTAAAGTATGTGTGTTTCGAAAACTACTCTTACTTCAACTACTCTTACTTCATCTTCATGTCCTACCATTAAAATTCTGTTCTAAAACAGTAAAGTAGAAAAATCAAACGATAAAAACTGTACTTAAATATACATCGCTTCAAGTAACAAAATGTTTAAACTATTTTAATGCAACATCACACGATTTTAAAGTTGTTTTAAAATTATAAATACTAAAACACAGCGAACGTGCATGGAGTAAAAGTTGGACGTGACTGTCATTAATATTACGCAACTTTCAATACGGCCGCCAGGGGAAATATTGTTATATTGAAAGTAATGCTTTTTTGCAAAAAAACAGAATCTTCTAGCAACAGTACTAAATGTTAGTCAATATAAGAAAAGCATCAAAAAAATTAGGTTTCAGTTAATGCAAAAACACTCACTTAAATCTCTGAAACACGACACATGTGGACCGATAGTTTTGTGGTTCATATTTATCTCAAATTATTATGTATATTACAAATTCAAATTATTGAACGCAATCTGAGGTCGTGGTTTGTCTATGATCAATCGACTACACTTCTACAATATTATCTCAAGTGCTGTGCCTATTAAGATTATTATAGGAATTAGTTAATTAAATACTAGCTGCCAATAAGTAATTCATTTATATATTTTTTATAAATTTGGTATACTCACTAAAATTTTATTTGAAAATGAATGTTGAAAATATATAAGTAAAATATATAAGTACAACTTAAAACTAGCTTAAAACCACGAGTACTTACTTAAAAATATAACATTGTGTTAGGTATTTAACGAATTTTATAGCATAACGTATTACGACTGACAACGTGTCGTACAATCGATTGAACTATTCACCATAGGTCTTATTAGGAAGCTTTTTGTAGCTCAGCGAAGAGGAACCCTGCATGGTGGAGTGACGAACTACATTATGTTGCAAGTGGCTCAGGATTAGAATTGTGGCGGTCTGGAGATGGCCTATGTTCAGCTACGGACTTGAAACGTCGAAATGATGATGATGATGATGATGCTGAACTACGTTATTAAACTCTTTTTCCGTATTTTTCATGGCTTGCGCCATGCTTAATGGGTCTGTCTGCGAATGACACAGTCATTTAACATTTTCTAAACGTTCTTTGTCTCGTTTGGATGAAGCCATTTTGCGATTTCACCTCAAAAGAGATCATCTGAGACATATAATTATCACCATTTATGTTTTTTTGTAAATGGTGTACTTCTCAACTTTTTCATTTTTTTTATTTCTAAGTATGTATTTATATTTTTTTATCAATGATATGAAATGATGTTGGAAAAAAATGTAACAAAACATAAATAATCATTCTTAAACTATTGAGTCGCATGTGAAAATGACCTTTTTATTTGTAATGCCTTTTTATTTTTTTCACGTGGGAAAAAATCCTGGTAAAATTTCAGCAGCCCACTACTTTCATATAGCAAACAAAGTTCTCTATCGTTTAAATTTTTCTTTTATTTGCTATATAAAAGTAGTGGGCTGCTGAAATTTTACCAAAATCCTTTATGGATTACCCGCCGCCTCGAGTGTACGTCTGTATCTGAGTCTTCAATATACCCACTAAAAACCCACGTTGCACCTACGCTGTTGTTTTTGTCGGGTACACGGGAACACGAAAACGCGATCTTCCGCGATCTCGGGTGCTTGGACACCCGGTCCATCCAAGTGGTGCCATGTCGGTGGAATGAACCCGGCACCCCTTTCAAGCCCTCCGCTTAATTGTAATGCCTCACCTAACTTAGCAAGACGTTCCTAAAAATGCTGATGATGGTTAAAATCCCTTTTTTTCTTAAACTTCTTTGTAGATTGCTATCTTTTTGCTTTTATATAGAAATTATATTAAACAACTAAAGTGACTTAAAAAATCTTTATTTAGGTCTTTGTTAGAAGTGCAAAGTTTAAAACTGACAACAACTTCATTCTATTGTCGAGGTGCGCACTACAATATTAACAATGACTGTTTTTGTATTAGTGGTGAAATTGTGTGTAAATTTTCTAAAGTTTCTAATGGGTTCTCATAATAGCTTGTGGCTTGTTATACAATAACAACTATTATTATTGCGCTTTACTTACTTTACTTTAAAAGTAAAGTAAAGCAACAGCCTACACATGTCCCACTGCTGGGCAACGCCTTCTTTTGTACAGGGCACAGACCACGTAACCCAACTGCAGATTGTCGGACTTCACATATATTTGAAATATTTTTTTGTTATAATTTCGAAAATATGCCGGTTTCTTTGATGATTTCCTTCACCGTTGAGCGTGATAAGCACTTAAAGTTAACAATTTCATTAGTGCCGGCATCGAATATAGATCTCAGGTTGCTCGAGTATATTGAGATTAAAAGCGACCGCCCCCCAGACAATGAGCTGTGACGGCTCTTCCGTACTTTAAATTAGCAAAAATATCTTTAAGAGTCAGATCAAAAGCTGTATTCGGCTATGCTGAGTCCACCTTGAGCTAAGCCCATCGAAATATTAAAACTTATCACTGAAATAGTTGCGTCATATCTGTTTTTAAACACGCAGTTACAGTTACAAGTTAGTCATTAATCAGCGGTCCACGGACAAAGCTATTGTCGGTGTACCTCGGAGTGGATTTTTTTTGTGAGAAGGTGGCAAATGAACTGGCGCTTCACCTAATGTCAAGCGATAATCGCCGCCTATGGACATTCACAGTTCCCATAGAGATGCAAATGCGTTGCCACCTCATAATGAGACTTGGGTTACCTCACTCACCACGCAGAAGTATAACGCTTGTACTTCACACGCGAAAGTATTATACCTCCACTTTACGCCGGTCTTCTGTGAGGTCGTGGTACTTCCACGGACGGACCAGCCCATTCGTGCAACAGTGAAGAATGTTGCGTGGCCCTACCACAGTTCGATGTATTTGGGACGACTATGTGTAATTCGCCAGGGAACTAAAATTATCGACATCATTTTATTAGCTTATCGCAAAAATTTCACTGATCTCACACAATTGATTATAGAATAGATAACTAGATAATTATTCTGTGGAGATAAAAGTAGAATAGAGGGAATCTTTTACAAGGAATATAAGCTATAATTTTTTAAAATTATATATTTTATAGATATTTCAAATAAGACGTTTCTTAGGTTGCTTTATCACGTACGTCTAAACCATTTTTAACAATTGAATATAATCATCGTAACTTAAATTGTTTTTTTTTCTTAGATTTCTTTTATGGCTTGTATCAAAAGGCTATCAATTTTATGTTTTAAAGCTGTCACATATTAAAGTAGTTTCATATTTAATACGCGTTTCACGTAGACTTCAATATCGGAGAGTTGATTTTCCCAGGGAGATATTTGCATAACGGCTTTTCAAAAGACGACGCTGAAGTTTTCCTTTAGTTACTATATTTTTATCGAAGATAAGGAAAGTAGCAGTTAGATTACTCGTTTAGATTCTGTAGATCGTATAAGTAATGTGGCTTTTTTATTTGCTTAAGAGTCGGTAATATAAAGGCGTCTTTTTTAACACAAAATGATATAAAAGCTAATATGTGTTGGTTGAATGAATTTAACGCGTTAAAAGATAATATGTAAATGGAAAACTTCACTGCCAGAGAAAATGAAATGAACACATTTTTTTTAATTTTCGTCATCTACCAAGCCCTGATCATTCCTTCGACCTGGTGTTCAAGGTTTATTTTGATTTTTTATGTATGTACGCCTTAACTACTTAGCACACTTAATAGTGCTACTTGATCTCGTAGATATCGAATAACGCGAGTAAAAAGCGAAAAGTAGGGATGGGAATGAAATGACTCTCTCAGCTTGTAGGCATGCCTTTCAAGCTGAAATGGTGCCCGGAAAGAAAAAGTAAGATCTAAAACTTATTAGGATTTCTGCCAAATGACCACGACAATAGTATTTCTAAAAGTATTATTATCACCAACATTGTATGCATCTAGTAAACAACATAAAAGTAAAGAAACAGCCTACATATGTGCCACTGCTGGGCAAAAGCCTTCTCTGTACAGAAGGTATCAGTGCACAGTCCACTACGCGACCGCACTGCGGATTGGCCGACTTCACATATCTTTGAAATATTTTTTTTTATTACGACAATATGTTCGTTTCCTTGCGATGGTTTATTTCACCGCTGAACACGTGATAAGTCAACACTTAAAATTGAAAATTTCATAAGTGCCGCCGCCAAGGATCGAACTCAGGTCGCTCGAGTATACTGAATTAAAAGCGAGCATCCGGACCATGACCTATCATGGCTCTTGGCTATCTGCTTATATGTGTACAGTTTTATTTCTCGGGAAACGTTATGTTTGGTAAAAGGTAATTTAAAAAATTTGATATTTCCCTTATGCTCTATCTGAGTAAACTCTGGGGTACTTCTTGAAATACTAAAACTATTTCAAGAAGTTACAGATATGATAACACCAACTATAAAGATGTTTTATTTACGCTAGATAATTTAATAGCGTGTCGAACGGAAATGGTATTGATAGAAATTAGACTCATTCTGCTTTTATGATAACAAAACGTAACATTGCTTTAGCAATGCTATGTTTTGTAATGCTAAAATGCATTAAAAAAATAAAATTACTGAACATAGGGGGTAACTGAAAATTGAAATGTCAATTTTGTGATAAAACAAATTTCAAGTTTGCACAAAAGTCGCCATTTGTAAGTAGAAAGTTTTACAAGATGTGAATGGTTTAAGCCAAGTTGCAAACAAACAAGAAAGAGTTTCAATTAAAATTTGCTTTTCATTCTAACTTTCCTGAATCTGGCTTTGTTACTCAAGCCTTATTCGTTTCAGACGCAGCTGAAAATTATTCCCGCTTGTATTTTTAAAGTATTTTTCTACCCAACTTACATAAGCAGAGATATTATTTGACTTATTTTAATTCCTAAT